AGTCGTGGCTCATGGCGCAGGAGCCCTACCTGGCCAGCAGCGACTACGGGCAGACGGTGGACGCGGTGGAGAAGCTGCTGAAGCGACACGAGGCTTTCGAGAAGTCCTCGGCCACCTGGGAGGAGCGAATCGCCGCCCTCAGGAAGCTGACTACGGTGAGAAAGGCTCGTGATGAGGCCTCTGCCTGCCCTGCCTCAGCTCCCCCATCATCCCTTAACACTTTCCCTCCTTTTCCCCTGCAGCTGGAGCTCCTGGGCGGGCGGTCGCTGCGTGAGGGGCTGGCGCGGGACGGGACAACGCGCTCCGAGGCTCCTGACTACCACCTGGATCTGGATGGGGAGCTGGATGCCGGGTAAGGGCTGCCACCACCATTCCACCTGGCCAGGGACACCATTTCCACATCATTTTTCTCAAACCATTAAGGATTTTTTTTAACATTAAGGGGCTTTTTAGCAATTTGCCTTTTCCGAGCAACAAACTGATGCTCTTCAACAGCATGAAGGTCAAGCCTCACCCTTACAGGGTTTTCATCCCTTGGTGGGGACAGGAGAGCTGCAGCCAGCCCCAAATCCCTGCAGGATCACAGCTGGGATGGGGATGCTGAACGGCTGCTTCCCTGTGCAGGTCTGAGGAGGAAGAGGATGAGGAGGAGAAGAGAAAGGATGTGAGCACACAGGACACTTCAATACCCACCACGGATGGACCAGAGCCGGTCAGTTCTTGAGTTTAGCTTTTACCTTCCCCGACAGCCAAAACCTTCTCCCTGCATGTCCCACCATTCCTGGCACCCCTTGTGACTGTGACCACATTGTGCTGACGGCTCCCTGTGTCCCCAACCCTCACCTTGTCCTTGCCTTGAGTTGAATAAATGCTAAATTACCCCAAAAAGGCCAGGCGGGCAGAGGGGTGCTGCAGGTCCCCTTTGCCCCAGCTCCTGGGGTGACATGGGGGGTGGCACCCGTGGGTGCACGTGTGTGTCTGGGATCGGTGCAGCAGTCAGAGCTGAAGTGTCTGCCCTGGAGTGGGCAGATCCCGGCTGCTCCAAGGGACATCATCGCTCTATGGGGCACTGTCACCCTGTGAGGCATCGTCACTCCAAGGAGCATCGTCACCCTGCGGGACATCGTCACCCCTGGGGCATCGTCACCCCTGGGGCATCGTCACCCCCGGGGCATTGTCATCCAGAGGGACATCATCACCCCGTGGGACATCAGCACCCTCCGGGGCATCGTAACCCCGAGAGACACCATCACTGTATGGGGCATTGTCACCCCATGGGGCACTGTCACCCTCTGGGGTATGGTCACCTTGTGGGACATTGCCACCCTACAAGGCATCAGCACCCTGTGGGGCATCGTTACCCCCACAGCATTGTCACCCTGCAAGGCATCGTCACCCCACAGGGCACTGCCCCCCTCAGGTGTTGTCACCTCATGTGCCAGCCCCCTTGTGCCTGCTGCCAGCCTCTCTGCTCCTCCTGCCTGCTCTGCCTACATGATGGGGACATGATGGCTTTCTGGAGGCTTTGCCTGCTTGGGGACAGGAACCCCTTCTGCCTCTTCTGCCTGCTTGGGGACAGGAACCCCTTCTGCCTCTTCTGCCTGCTTGGGGACACGGGTGTCTGCTGGCTCCCAGGGGACAGGAACGTTCTCCCCTGCCTGGGGACAGGATCCTCGAGTACCTACACAGGGACTAGATCATTTGTGCCTGCTCAGGGCTCTTCTGGCTCTTCGGGGACAGGGTGCTGCTCTGCCTGCTTGGGAACACAGCCACTTTCATCTGCTTGGGGACAGGAGCCCCCTCTGCCTACTGCCAGCCTGCTCAGGGACATGGGCATCTTCTGGATCCCTGGGGACAAGATCACTTTCCCCTGCCTGGGGGCAAGATCCTGGAGTACCTACATGGGGACAAGAGCGTTTCTGCCTGCCTGGGGACATGGGCATCTGCTGGGGACAGAGTCCTGCTCTGCCTGCTTGGGGACACGGTCACTTTCAGCTGCTTGGGGACAGGAGCCCCCTCTGCCTGTTCAGGGACACGAGCACTTTCTGGCTCCATGCGGACAGGGTCCTGCTCTGCCTTCCTGGGAACTGGGAATCTGCTGGCTCCACGGGGACGGGGTCCTCTCTGCCTGCTCAGGAACATGGATACTTTCACCTGCTCGGGGACAGGAGCCCCATCTGCACGGAGACACGGGCATCTCCTGGCTCCTTGGGGACAGGATCATGTCTGCCTGCCTGGAAACAGGGCCCCTGAGTACCTATTCGGGCCCAAGATCATTTCTGCCTGCTTGGGAACACGGGCATCTCCTGGCTTCCTGGGGACATGGACTCTGGCCTCGCCCCTCCAGCTGGATGGGCATCCCTTTTACTGGGGACCACGGCCCCTGACTGCACCTCTCGCTGTCCCCAAGGCCTTGGGCTGGCAGCAGCAGCAGGGTGGCTCCCAGGACTGCTCACCTGGCTCGGCTCAAACTCATCACCCCACATCTGGGGCACCACTGGCACTGAGATCTGGGGGGCCTGGGGCTGGACTGTGTCCCAGCTGCTCACTGGGATCCTTCCAGTAGCCACCAGTTCCCATGTACTGGAGCTGGGGTGGCTTCACTAGCACTGTGCTGAGGGTCCCTGCTGCTTGCTGGGGCCTTCCCAGCAACCACCAGTTCCCACATTCCGGAGCTGATGAGGTCACTGTCACCGAGATCTGGGGGTCCCAGGGTTGGAGCATGTCCCAGCCACTCACTGGGGTCCTGCCAGTAGCCACCAGTTCCTGAATATTCAAGCTGGTGGGGTCACTGACACTGTACTGAGGGTCTCAGGGCTGGACCATGTCTGAGATGCTCACTAGCGTCCTCCCAGTAACCACCAGTTTCCAGATATCAGAACTGGTGGGGTCATTGGCACCTCAACGAGGGTCTCAGCCATCACCAAAGTCCTCCCAGTAGCCACCAGTTTCCACATATTGAAACTGGTGGGGTCATTGGCACTTCAATGAGGGTCTTAGCCATCACTGGAGTCCTCCCAGTAGCCACCAGTTCCTGAATATTCAAGCTGGTGAGGTCACTGACACTTTACTGAGGGGCTCAGGGCTGGACCGTGTCTGAGATGCTCACTGGGGTCCTCCCAGTAACCACCAGTTTCCAGATATCAGAACTGGTG